GGTCTCTGACTCTTGTCACCTCATGAATCACTTCGCTTCAATCTATCATATTAGTCCTAAGCATCTGCTGTTGGTGTGTCTCCTACTTTTCCAGTAAATCATAAGCTGCTTAGGGAAACAGCCTGGTGTAAAGGAAGAACACTTGAAATCAGAGACTTCAAGTTATTTCCCCAAAGGGCCTCAGTTTTCCAGTCTGTGGCGTGGGAATAGTGACATGTACCTCATGGAGCTACCGTGAAAATGAAATGAGATAAAACAGAAAAGGGTTTGGATCATCATGGTTGGTGACGGTGTGGGTAGTGGTTGGTGACAGTGTGGGTAGATGGCACTGAGAAGGTGGCCAGGAGAGGCTGAAAGAATTTGTCATCTTTTGTACTTTTAGGACACCTGGCACAGAGACTGAATGATTGTTCTCAGAAATCTGTTCCTCTTCCTAATACTCCTCAGTGTCTAAAGATAATTCCACAGAGCGAGTTTAAATCTTGCTGTGGAAATTTAAGGGTTTTTTTTTTTTTTTACCCCTGTGTCTTTCTTTCTTAGTAACGATAGAGAAAAATCATTCAAATAATTGGGCACCTTTGGTCCCAGCTCTTGGTTGGTCTTAGAGATTATTATTAGATTACTTCTCCATGACCTCTTCTTGGGTAATTAATTTCAGTTTCCTTAACATTCCTCCTGGTGCCCATCTTCTAAATGTTGAAGTGGGTCTTTCGCTTTCCTCCATCTCCCAGAGTAATATTCCTTCCAGGCTGGGGAACGGTTGTTGGGTAATGGGTCAGGTCAGATGAATTAAGAGGCAGGCTGTATGGTTCATGGACACTTTGCTCTCAACAACTTGATAGGAAGTGGTTTGAATTTTTTTTTTTTTTTAATTTTAACTATAAAAATGTAAGAAACATCTGCTGTTATTTTTTTGCCTGTGATCCTGGTAAGTTATTTAGTTAGACTGCTCCTATGTAATCAGCTGCTCTCTGTGGAGGCTTTTGTGGCAAAGCTGGGCTATTTTGTTTCCAGTTGTAATGTATATGGAGTGTGCGTGTCCCGTCCAGATTCCTTTCATAAACTGCAGCAGGTTTGCCTCCATGCAGTGAGCTCTTGGGATTCATATGGCTGCTGTCTTAGCTGCATAAATGCTTTAATTGTAGTGGTCTATTCGATTGGTTGAGAATACATCACACACTAATTGCTATGAAGCAAACCGAATAGGGTAATGTGATAGAGAGTGATGCCAGGATGGGGGTGGGGCTGCTTTAGTTAGGAGCATGGAAGCCCTCAAAGGAGGAGAAATTGGAGTTGACATCTAAAGGGTGATAAAGAGACAGCCAAATGAAGATGTCTGGTGAACCAAATGAAGATCTGCAGTGAGAGAATTTGAAGGGGAAGGAAGTGAAGAGCAAAGGCCCCGAACCATGGAATACACTGAGGAATAGGCTGAGGAATAAAGGAGTCCAGTGGGCTACATTGTAGTGAGGCAGAGGAGAATGCAGGGAGGTAGGGGTGAAGAGGGTCTAGTCTAACAGAAGCCAGTGGAGGTTTTTAAGGGAGGATTTGATATCATTTGATTTATAGTTCTAGAAAGCTCACTCTGGCTGCTAAGTGGAAACTGGATTGTTAGGAGCAAGAATGGTGTCAAGGAGACCAGTGAGGAGACTATAGCTGTTGTCTAGATGAGAAACCATGGTGGTGTGGGCTAAGGTTGTGTGATACAGATGATGAGAAACGTTCAATTTGGGATATATTTGGGATGTGGAATTTATGGGACATACCTGATGATTCTAGTCTCTTACTCAGATATGGAGCACTGGATGATTCATTTTTGGTCAGTTAAGTTTTAGATGGCTAATGGAATCCAAGTGGCAATGTCCAGTGGGTGATTGAGTATCTGAATCTGGAGCTTGGATGAGATTTGAAGTCTGAAATGTTCATTTAAATTATGTGAAGGTCAAGAATGTAGACAGAGAGGAGGCTGAGGTGTCTGAGTCTGGGATACACCATCGTTTAGAAGTCGGAAAGAGACGCCAGCAAAGGACTCTGACAGAGAGGAGCCAGAGAGATCAGAGAACCATGTGTTGAATAGGTGCCTGGAAAGTAAAGTGTCTCCAGGAGTAATTGGTGCCCTCATCATTCAGTTTCAAGTGTTAGCACCCTGCACCCGTATTAAAATGTTAGTTGAAGGATGTATTCTGTAGCTGCACATTTAGTGACAGCTAGAGCATGCTGGGCCCAGTGCTTGTCCACAGAAACCCTCAGCCGCAGTGGGATCAGAAACAGGGAGACTCTTGTCTCCTGGGGGCCAGGGGAGGGGGGTTTGCCGAAGTCTCTTAGGGTTTGTGAGATCTTCATACCATTACCAAAGTAGCAAAGAGTAATTTGTTGTTGTTGTCGTTAAATGGCCATTGTATATATAGCTCGCATGGCTAGGCCACAAATCAGTTCTTGGAAAATAATCTGTAACTAAATTTTAATTCTCAATTTTAATTTCAAGAGTCGAAGGTTCACTTAAAATAAAAGCCTATATAGCCAACTCAGTGTATGAAAAGACAAAAACACTTTTTAACTTGCTTATAGTCCAGTCCTGATGAGAAGTTTCAAAACAAATCATTTTCTAAATTTTATCTTTTCTTGAAGGCAGTTTCTGTTTGGGAGTTAACTTCAGCTTATGGAAAATTGTTGTTTTATCTGTTTGTCACTTGATAAATGATATTATTTAAATGAGTAGTAGAGATTTCTTGCTTTCTGCCTCTCTTCAAGTGAACCTATAATGTACTCCAACAAACAATTTAGGTTGAAGGGCAAAGTTGGGGAGTCCTCTGTTTTTTTGTACAATTTACTATAATAGGCCATTTTTCCTGCTGTAGTTAGGTGCATGTTCTCCAAAACCCAAAGCATGATTGTTCTGGAAATAAGATGGTTTATTTTGGTGATTCTTATCAAGTTTGGAGAAATAATGGATTTGTTTGAAATTAAGCAAAGCTACAGTTTTCTTTTAAGAAGGTTCAATGGATGACAAATACTTATGCAAACTCTGTAAATGTTTATTCTAACCTTTTACCTTATTGACATTTAGTTAATTTTATGAATAGATAAAGCTAATAAGAGTGTAGTGGGCTGATAGTTGGCAATAGATAGTGGTGAGAAATGTTCTCTTGGTTATTCAACCAAATACTTGGTTCACTAATTGAATGAGACTGCTGGGAACAAAACAGCAGAAAATAACCCCTTTCCATAAGTTTAACAAAATGACTGACTCTGCTGCTTTGTATAGAAATAAAATCTTGGGGCGCCTGGGTGGCTCAGTCAGTTAAGCATCCAACTCTTGATTTTGACTCAGGTCTTGATCTTGGGGCCGTGAGTTCAAGCCCCATGTTGGGCTCCATGCTGGGTGTAGAGCCTACTTAAAAAGTTTTTTTATGGTACCTCAAAAGTCTCCATTTCTTCTAAGACCAAACTGTGGAAGTAGCTCATTTACCTGGTTGGCTCAATCCCATTTTCAAAGACTAAAAGCTCAAACCTAACACCTGAAGCATAGGACCTTACCTATGTGCAGCACTACTCAGAGTCATGAATGAGTACAACGCCACACCAGTCTGACAGCTGGGTACTTTTGCGTGAAAGTTATAGGATGTAACAAGCCTTGTCCTTGGGTCCCTCATGAGCAGTTATCTTTTTGAGGCATTGGCAGAACTGTCCTGGGGTAAAGGGTCCTGGTGTCCAAGCCACATGTAGGAGGTGCAGGATGGGGGTGAAGGAGACTCTGGGCTCTCCTCTTTCCTCTCCTGCCATCCCCTCTAACCACTAGGGGAAAACGAAGATGAAGGGCTGCTTGGGTGGATCGGGCTGTGGGAAAGGGCAGGGTGAGGGCCACCCCTTGTCTGGGTGGTGATGGTGGGAAGAAGGCACTGTTGGTGGGGCGGGTTCTCCTTTGGAAGAGGCTGTGTCTGTCTCAGCCACCACCTTCCATGGTCCTCAGGACTGTGCCTGGCACGTAAATGCCCAATAGCTCCTTGGTGAACGTTGAGTGGTTGGGGGTCAGGGCTCATATAGACCAGGGCAGAGCTTCTTCCCTTCCCTTCTGACAGTTACTTCCTTGAATGGCACATGGCCCAGTGTCAGACCAAACCCTAAGATCCTACACATGGGGCAATCACTTGATTTATTCTTCAGAAGAGCCCTCTGTGACTTGGAGGCCTCCATCCAGTTAAGGCATCACTTATACATATGAAGACAACACTAGGATTCAAAGCAGTAATATCTTGCTATGAAGAGCAGCTTCTTAAATTTGATCATGGCATCTTCCCATTGAATAAAATCCAAGCACATTTTCTTGGCTAACAGTGCCTTGCATTAAGTGGCTCCTGATTTCCTTTCTCACCTCCTTTTGTGCCACCCTCTAGTTCCTTAAACACTCCAGACCCCTTCCTGTGTGCTCTACCCTCTGCGCTGTCTTCTATGTTCTTCCATGGCTCTTCACTTGCCTCAGTCTTTCTGATCTTTTAAAGATCCACTTAACTGGCATTTCCTCAGGGAGGCCTCTTTTGCTCTCTCCATCATCCCCTCTGTCTCATTATTTTATACCTAGGCATTTTTGTAGTTCCCCGGGTGTTTGCTTTCTTGTTTAGTAGCTTTCTGCCACACTTGAGTGAATGCTTTATAGGCCGGACTGTTTTCTGATATGTTTAGCCTCTAGTCTAGTCTCTGGTTCAGAAGAAGCTCTCCAAAAATAAATGAATGGATGAAGCCGCAGCCTACTTTTCATCAGAAAAAGTGTTTCAAGTAAAAACAAAACAAACCTTTTTTTTCTTTCTGAGATTCTCAACATGCAAAACATATATGCCCATCGTACATGTGTGTTCGCACTGTAATAATTCCCTAGTCTTGGTATGGAACTGCCTTCAAGGATGGGGTTTGTGATTTAGTGCCTGTGGTCTAACTACTATTAGTGCTTTTTATACCTAAACTTCTAATGTGTTTTCTCTGCCCTTTCCTTTCGTGTTTTTTAGCAAGGGAAGCCATATGTCTTCGATAGAGTGCTGCCTCCCAGCACGACCCAAGAGCAGGTTTACAATGCGTGTGCAAAGCAAATTGTCAAAGGTAAGTGCTATTTCTTTATTTCCTCCTGGGCCTTTCAGAGTAATTGAAAACATTAAGTGATATTTGCAGCCTAGGAATCAATGTGCCTTGACTCTAAGCAGAGGCCTGCTAATTGGAAACACTGACTTATTGCCCGAACTCTGGCCCTGATTTGCTATGATGTCAGGCAAGTTCTTGAACCTCTCTATACCTCCTCGCCAAGGAAATTTCTTTATTTCTTTTGCCACCTTTTTGACAGAGTTATTCTGCCACCTAGAAGCTTAAAAGCTACGGTCACACTATTTCTGTAACGGTTTTAAAATACTGCCGTAGGCATAAGGCCTCCTTTTTACTTTGAAGGAGACAAAAATATATGTATTTCTGATGCTCCAGTTGTATATTTTTGGCTGATTTATCTTGTTCATCTGTCTCCTCAGGCAGAAGCCTTACACGTGGAAAATTCTTGGGCACCAAGGAATTTTCTGCAGAATCATAAAATCACATCACCTTGTTGGTTGTTGAGCAGTTCTTGCTACTCAGCATTCCTTAAATATACTTTCGTCTAACCCACTTTCAACCTTTCCACCCAGAGACCAACATTTGTTCCTCCAAATAGATAGCCTGAAGCCTAAAATTGTCTTAGAGATCAGCTCTTTTCTCTGGGACTGGCCTTGGCCCTGAAGGATTTGTGTCAAAATCACAGCAGGGAGATGAAGCAATTTACACATTGCTCTACCTTGCTCTTTCAAATCAGGGGCAGGCTGGAGCTTGCCTTGGGGGAGCTCGCCATCTGGCCAGAGCCGAGGGGCATCTCCTGCTACTCTGTTTTTCATCTTCGAGTCTTAACCTTCAACTCTGAATGCTATGGCAGTTGTGCTCTCAAATGTCCTGATGTTGCCACCTTTATAGGTAGCTGTAGATTTAAAGAGCAAAAAAGCAAAAACAGAATTCAAAAAGCACCTCGTCATGCAAGATGTGTTTGTTTTTGGAAGCCGAGCTGACTAACCTAACTATTTGAAATTCATGAAAGCCAGCCCTGGGTGCATCTGTTAGATTAGTTCTGACCCTGGACACCTGCGTGGGAGATTCAGTCAGTATGTAATGTTCCTCGCTGAGGTGTATGGTTGTTCAAATTCCGGTTGCAGACATCAATTAATTTTGAAGGTCTTCCCAGTAAGATCATTACAGAAAACTGAAGAGAAAAAACATGCCTGAATTTGGGCTCTTCTTGAATTAATACTGTGGGCCTGTATCTGGTGGTAATGTTTGTTTTCTCCCTACTTCTATTCTTTTGTATCTCTTCCTGTCTAAAAATGTTTTCTCTCTCTCTCTGGAGTATGTTCTGGTTTGCTCCTAGGCAGCCCTCCTTCCTTTCCATTAGCAGACTCGTCCTTATTTTTATTAAAGTAAGATTAATCACATGTGAGCCATAATTTCCCTCTTTTTCTCTCCCCTTCCATTATCAGAACCAAATAGTATTTACCACGTGCTGTGCTACGCATGAGGTCCATTTAAATACATCTCTAAGTTGATGTAATTAGAGATGGATGCACTCCAGTTTTAAAAAATCCTGTGATTAACAAACAATCATAATCTTTCAGTCTTCATTACTGGAGAAGTTGGGTCTCTTTCAGTGTTTGGTTTTTCTGTAGTATGAAATGTCAGAAATAGGCAGTCCTTGGAAAGTTCTTGTGAAGATGTGACCTAACTGGATAACTTGAGGCCCAATATATGGTGAGCCACAAAGAAAACCATTTAGGGTAACGTTAGACTCTGACATGATACGATAAACTGATATTTTTCAGACACTATAAATGTAATGTGAGCATACTCATTTTGTAACAATAAAGAGTTCTTTCTTCTTCCTTGAAAGGAAATTATTAGGGGATGACGAAGGCCTAATTTAACTTTTTTTAATATCCACTGAGGCTAGCATGAGGGGAAGTGGCCGTGTTATTTCTGCATCAGCAAGGTAAAACACAGATATATAAGAAAGAACTCCTTGCAATAGTCACTAGGTACGACTGAGGTTTCTTTTGCCATGACAAGCCCTATTTAAATCAGGAAAGGAAGGTGGTGCTGTGGGGCCTCTTTTTCTAGAGGCTAGGAATTCAATCAGATAACTTCTGAAGGTCACCGCAGCTCCCACGGTTCATGGTAATGTGGTGGACTGGTGAGATTTTCTTTCAAGGCTATCTGAACCCTTAATGTTTTTGAGATCAGGAAGATCCCTTTTAACTGGATGGCTTTATTCTCTCTTGGTTTTTTTCATTCCCTTCAACTTCACTGGGTTTTTCAAAACATATTTCAAACATTTGATTGTAGAATTCTGGTACCTCCCACACTCCCATCTCTGTCTGGTGTGTGTTTTCCAAATGTTGTCTGAAAGAGTATATAGAATTCTCCGTTTCTTCCAGAAGAGCTTATAGGATTTGTGCCTCTCAGCATGGTAAATAGGAGGGTTTCTGTGGATGTGCTAAGAATTAAAAACCATGGTTACTGCTTGCTGTTGTTGGAAGTACGGGGAACTATGTCCTAGTCTACAGAAGTCACTCTGGGCATTTGCCTTTTAAATTAACTAGATGTGGACTGTGCAGGGCTAGAGAAGGTGGTTCCTTGTTTTCTAGATCTCATTTGTTTAGGCTTCATTCATTTGGTTGTTTATTTTACCCATTCCTTTATGCAAGGATATTAAGTATTTACTGTGTGATGTAAGCACTGCTACGGACTAGAGTCACCAAGATATATAAGACTGTCTGCAAAAAAACTTCACGTATAGGGAAAGAGACAGATGCATCCGTGGTTATCATACCTATGGGTAGTACATGCTTTAAGGTGGCCGTGTGTAAAATGCTGTGGGATCACAGAAGAAAGTCACTTGGGACTGATTTTGGTGAGTGGGGATGAGGATTGGAGAATTAAGGAAGGCTTCTTGGAAAGGATAGGTCCTGAAGACTATAGAATGCAGCAGGGTGTACAAGCACAAGGAACAGCAAAAGCATAAGGACACAGATTATATGGCATGTTTGGGCAATTTAGAGTGTTGCAAGGTACCTGGGGGCTGGGACTTAAAAGATAGGCTGGATCAGAGTTTGGTGGAAATGGATGGGCTTTATCCTTCAGGCAATGTGGACTCATTGACAAGTTTTAAGCTCAGAATACTATAAGATCTACTTTATTATGTGGTATGTGACTCTTAAGAAGAAATGTATATATATATTTGGCTACTGTTAACCGTCAGGCACCGTCTATGCACTTCACATATGTTATTGTATTTTTTAAGTCTCAACCATTTTATGAGGTGTGAGCATTATTGTTCCTGTTGTACTAAGGAGGACTTCGAGGTCAAAGAACTTGGCCAGGTCAGTTAGGGGGTGGTGAGGCTGGAACTTGAGCCTGAGTTTGCCTGTCTTCCTTGAATTTTTCTGCACTATCCTTTCCGGGCTTTTCTGGTGAGCTCATAATGAGCATTTAGTAACAATTTATGAGTTGTTACTTTTCTATCAGGCCATATGTACTATTATTAACCAAGCATTGCAAAAAGACAGGGATAGGAATGGCCGTGGGAAAAGGGGAGAGGGGAGAGAATAGAGATCGCGGTCCCAGAGCTTTGGGGTGGCCCTGCCTGTCTTCCAACAGTGAGATGCCTTTCCATTCTGAAGACGCAGCAGAGCCCTCCCCGTCAGACTGGCCGGCCCGCCGTTCCGGTTTGCCCCTAGTGTGCAGTAGGTCTGCCTGGGGCGTATGTCTACTTGAATAGTTTGGTTGGCCAGCCAGAGCCTTAGGACTCCAAGGCAGGGATGACTCGTCAGTCACTATTGCCACTGACAGGCCACCATTTCTCCTGGGGAGTTGGTAGGAGGCCACGACAGCCTTCTCAGGAACTCCTACGATTACATCCTCCCCAAAGTCTTACCCGACAGTGAAGCTAACTCTTCCGCTCTAGCAAGATCTGGACTCAGAACTAGCAAAACCTAGGATGGAAAACTGGCAAGAGGCGAGAAGTGTTCTCAAGTATCCCACTCTTCTTCACCCTCCTCTTCCTACCTGCAGTGGAATCTCTCTTTGGGTTTGCTGGTTGCTGGACGGACATGTGCTGTCTTTGTGGGTGCTGCTGGCTGTGTGGCGTGAGCTGAGATCACATCACGCCAGAGCCTGTCACAAAGCAAGGTTCTGTCTGGCCGAGCTGGTTCCTGGCTCTGCGGCTGGCGCATAGACATGGTCATTCTGCTACGGGAGAGGCTCTGAAACAAATGCTTTCCTTGGGCCCAGGAACTGTCATTCAGTGGGATGAAAGTGCCTTTTTGTGGGCTGTTTCTATTAGGGTCGGGTGGGGGTGTTGTGTGGCTCAGCGTGGTGCTCTCCCATCCCGCTTTCCTTGACGGGCGCTCCGGCCTCCTCCATGCCCGCGCTCCAACCCAAATGCACTGTGTGTGCTCACTTCCCCTCCTGCCTCTCCTCTCCCCTGAGAATCAAACATAGACGTGGTTAAACACACCGACCCCCACAACCTGGAGTTTGGAAGAAAATCGAGAACGCTGGGTTCGAAGAGCTTTTTCTTTTCTTTTTAAAATTACCATTTAATTCACACTTGAGTTGATAGAGGGCATCGGCTCTGTTCAACCTTGAACACTAGAGATAGGTTCTCCAACAATGAATTAATTGTAACATGATTGTAAATAGTACTTTAAAGACCAAGCAGAGTTTGTTCTGATGGGGTTTTTTGTGCTCTCTTTTCCTTAAAAAAAAAAAAGTAATTGCACCCCGTGTTGAAATAGCAGCAAAAGTCAAGGATTCTCCAAGTAGAGTCTCACGTGTTCCTTAGCCCCCTGCTCCAAAACAAGTGGTGCTCTCCATGAGCTCTTGTTTCCCTGGGTGTGTCCCAGGCCTTACCCTGCAGGAGTTTGGGGAGCAGCAGCTAACTAGGGAGTTAGTACGATTGTGCATTCTGCTTAGGGAGGTTGGATTCGGAGGTGTGGACCCTGTCCGGGGGAGCCTGATTCAGGTGCCCCGGCCCCACCGCTTCGTGGCAGAGGAGGAAGCATATGCCGGGTTTTCTCTTGTCTGTGGGGCTCTGGCTGTGAGCTGAGTTTTCTTTAGGGTGCGGCGCATTGCTCAGAGTCACCCCGGCGTGCATGTGCACTTGCAGGGTCGCCAGTGGCCTCTTAGGAGCTGCAGAGGGAGCTGGACCCTTGGCCTCGGCCTCCGTACCCCTGATCTAATAATGCCTGGGCTGGTAGGTCCCAGAGTGCCTCCTACACAGGGGCTGAAGGTAAGGAAGCCCGTTCAGTTTACGGGGAGATGTGTGATTTCTAATGAACAGAAGCTTTAGTGCGGTGACTGTGGCTGGCATTCCTGGAGTTGTTTATGCCACGAATGTAGAATTTTATAAGTACAACTGCAGGGTGGGAACCTCTTTCCTTGTGTCCCTCAAAGTGCATTGCATTCATGGTCGTTTAGAGGCTCTCCATTCTGAATCTGTTCTCTGAGCAAGTTGGCATTTCTGTGAAAACTGAAGCTTGAACCTCCAACCCTGACACTGTGGTCTTCAAGTTTTTGCTTCTCCTGTTCCCAAGGAAACCATTACCAGAAGTTTGATGTGTGTGAACCTTCTCTCCCTCCCTCCTCTCTCTCGATATAGCTTGACACAAACTCTCAAGGGCTGTTAGGATTAAAAAAAAAAAAAAAATTCTGCTGCTTAATTTCTCTCTTTTTTTTTTAACTTCCTGAAGGAAAATCCCACTTTCTTTTCTGACCCCAGTTCACACTCCAGTAACCTCAGGTCAATAAAATGTATATTGAAAAAATTTAGAAAAGCTAACAAAAGAACAAAAATTACCCGGCATAATGAAATTCAGAGAGGCCAAAACCACAAACCAACCAGCCTAAACATTTGATGAGTGAAGAGGCCAGTGGCCCCGAAGAGGACGCCTCAGTAGGGGGTTCCTCTTGTTGCCCCCACTGTCCTTTCAGGAATGAGACTTCTCCCCTTAGTAGGGATGTTGGGTCAAGGATATTAATCATGTACTGTTTCCCTTTTGGTGATATTGATGCAGATGAAGGAGGATTGAGGGAAACGAGTGCTAAATATATTTTAATCACCTCTGCTGCGTGGAAGGAATCCCCACAGATAATCTTCAGTGCAAAGCAGCCTCTGTCTGCACGCCTCCCCCGTCCCTGTGTGAAATGGAAGCCGGCCTGCCGTGTGCGGGGCTTTGCACAGTGTGCTCATTGTGTAATTAAAAGAAATTCCTGATGCTGATGGGCCTGGGCCGTCCTGCTAGCACAGTCACCAAAAAAACAAAGGCCTTAACTTTGAGTGAGGGCCCCGGTGGTTTCCGGGCTGATTGGATTGTCCCCGTGTGGCTGGGTTTACAGAGTGGGGCCCTGTCCTTCTCCCCAGTTCTGGACTCACTCTGTTCTGAAGGCGCTCCAGACGGCCTTGCTGAGAAACATCCCCAAGGAGCTCACCTGCACTGGCGTTTCAACTGACCCAAATCAGATCTTTTGGAAAGAAATTCTATTCCATACCTCACTCCAGAGACTCAGGACACTGATAATGTTTTTCTTCCTCCTCTCAGGAGATCAATTTATAGAAGAAAATTCAAGTATCTTTCTGCTAAAAAGGAAGTGTACTGCTCGATGTCTGTCTTAATGTTGATGTTACTGGGAGAGAGGATGTCTGCCTCTTTCTTTCTTTCTTTTTTTTTTTTTTGCCTCTTTCTTCATTAATATATTCTGTAGGAATGTGAGTACATTTCTTATTTGTGGAACAGTTTTTGCTTTTATCTCACAATTCTATTTAAAATGTAAATGGAGTTGAAATACATCATTTGTGTGAAAAATGAGATGGGCCATTTGGAAAATGTAATTTTAAAATATGGAACAAACACTAGCATACGATCAAAGTAATGAGTTAATTTTAATTTCTTTTTCTTGCTTGCAGATGTCCTTGAAGGTTATAATGGGACGATTTTTGCATACGGACAGACCTCATCAGGAAAAACGCACACCATGGAGGTAAGATTGCAGCGTGCCGTGAGGCATTCTCTTGGGTCGCTCAGCAGCACTGTGTGACCAGCCACATTCAGGCGCATGCAGCCCCTTGACTGCGCGTGAGAGAGGTGGTTAAGGGACTGGTCATGTTTGACCAACTTATTTTGTATTTGTGGAGTTTCAAAATAATGGTAATAAAATCTCAGGGGTTCAGAATTTTTAAAAAATCCTTTGTTGGTAGCTCTCTCAAAATGGTAATAGTACATTCTATTAAAAAAGACTCATCAGTAAGCTAAACGGTGGTGTGAGTATCCTTATGGATTGCGACCCTAATCTCAACTGAGAAAGTCTGTTGTGAGAATCATTTATGCTAAGGAAGCCCACTCTGGGGAGGTGAGTTTCCTCAGAGGAAATTAAAAAACTGTAGGACAGAGATGTAAAGAAGTTGGCTTGTGGACCAAATTCAGCCCAGAGACATATTTTTGTTTGGTCTGCACCATGTGTTTTTAAAATTTTTTAATTTATTATTATTATATGTATTTTTTAATTGCAGACAGTGCTTAAAATTTCACACAATTCTGAGTTTCCAAATTTGGTTGAGAATTCTGAAGATCCTACAACTGGGCGAAATTTCACCATAATATAAAGTGTAGGCTTCACTAGCGCAGAGATCGTCATTGTCTTGTTCACCTGTTCATTCACATTTCTGAAGGAAAATCCCACTTTCTTTTCTGACCCCAGTTCACACTCCAGTAACCTCAGATCAATAAAATGTATATCGAGGAAATTTTTATTTCTAGTGCATGGAACAGCGGCTGTCATCCAGGAGGGGTTTGATAAAATATTTGTTAAATTGATAGCCTCGGGATGACCGTGGCCAACCCTTGTGTGTGGGCTGGGCCGTCCAGTCCATCCCAGCCCCCTGCATGCACACTGTGAGCATGGACTGACGCGAAGCATCCTCTGTCATTAACGTACACACCTGACCTCTGTGGGCATGTGAAGGTGTGAGCCCAGCTCAAAGTCTGTGGCTGTGGAGCCCTGTGGCTCCAGGCTGTCTTCCAGACAAGGCACATCTGCAGATAAAATTGGCCCCCTTTACCTCTTCTTTCCCTGCTTTTGTCCTCCTGTAAGCCCTTCAGGGCTGGATATTCTTCTAAAGGCTGGGCCCCCCTGACAGGTGAGAAGAGTGGTTATGGTGGTTACAAGACACTGAGCAGAGCAAGTTTGGGGAATTCAGCTTACAAGTAACAGGGTAAGATGAATCCTTGATCCTTCAAGCTTAGGATTTTCATTTACGGTACCCTCTTGGGAATGTTACTGAGAGACGTCTGCTGCAGAATCGGTTTAGCTTTATGAATCATTCCTATTGAAGAGGAGATTTCAAAGGCACGAGGCTAAAACTCTTGGGGCTCTGATGTTCTGCTCACACCGATTTCAAGTGTGCGTGTGACTCTGGGGGATCTCATTTCTGTTGTGTTGAGTCACTTTCCCATTTTGCAGGGGACAGTGGCTCCGAGATCACACATAGTAAAGGAAGCACAAGGTTTATTTGCCACTGCTTCTGGACGGAGCAGGACTGTTCCCTGACATCTGAGCCTTGGCCACGCTCTTCTCTGCATCTCCCATTCTCATGCAGTACACCTTGGAGATGCAGGCGCGGCCCTTTGCCTTCCTCTCTTACTGGGCCCCAGACCCTTAACCTTCCAGGCACTAGCAAAGTTGCAGTTCTGTATTTCCTAAGTACTAGCAACTCCAGTAGCCATGACAGAAGCTCCTTCATAGGCCATAAGGTGTAAGAGAGAGAGGGGACATCTCATGAGGGTGTCCATCAGTCTCTAGGTTTTTGGAACATTACCAAACAATATACAAAATAACAACAAAAAATGCAGTATTTAGAATCCCCCAAATCGTAAGGACTGTTTACAAGAGTGACCTTTTTAGCTTCGGGATTAATTTGTCTTTGGGAAATACAACATATTTGCTCAATGTCAGAAATTTAAATTCTAAACCATCAAAGGAGAGACCTGTCCCCAGAGTAAAATCTTAGTTTGTGTTGTGTGTTGGGGGGGGCGCGAATCAGTGGGTGTAAGGAGATGGCAAAGACGTATGCCAGCTTTTTAAAATGAAAATCGGAAATGTTTTGTTACATGAGGGTGTCCAGAGCCCTGGGAGTCTGACAGCATGAGCCTTACAAGGCCTGCAGCGCCGCTCAGCCGGAGAGGTTCGGGGGGACTTAAAGGGAACTGGCTTCTAATGCCGGTTACTCCCACAGTTGCCTAAATTCTGTAGCTTTTTCGTCCACGTCAGTTTTAAAAGGTTGATTGCAAGGGGTGCTTTTCTTTATCGTGACTTCTGAAGATCATGAGTTATGCCCATAGGAGGAAGGGACGGGGCGGAGGGGAGCCCTTTCCTAGCCCCCCTCCCCAACACACACACTTAGTCTGGTTCTTTCTGTCCAGTGGGTATAGATTGGAGAGAAGGTAGGAGATATTTTAGAGGAAAACAGGAAAGGAGGAGCCCCGAGCTGAAGTCGTAGAGACTGTGGGAGACTGAGAAATCCAGGACCCTGGAATGCAATTAAATTAAAAAAAAACAAAAACAAAAAATCTGAAAGGATTTTATGTATTCGGAATTATACATTGTGATCTTTCCAAGGCTTTTTTGGAAGGGGATGTTAACTCCCTGAATGGACAGAGCTGTCACATTTTAAAGCTGTTTTTCATTTTTGGCCTGACATCCAGTGGTGATTCCATTACCTTCTATTGAGGAGAACAAACAGATAAGCCTACGTGAAATTGGAAAGATTAGCTTCTGAAGATGGAGCATTTAAGGCGGATTTTCAGTAAAAATATGAAACACTTGACAGTGTTGATGCCAAGGTTGGTAGGACACCGTCGTGCACTGGGCCCAGGGCGTCTGCGGCCAAGTGTTCCCAGGGCTGGGTTGAAGGACGGCTGCTGGGGTTGCTGACTATACGGGGAAGAGAGGGCTGGACCTTTGTTCGGCCTGTGGTGCTGGGAAGGGCTTCTTTGGGCCCCGTGCCTGGCTTTGTGGCCCTCTTTGGCACAGATTTGGATGGATGGAGACACGCTGTTTTTCCTTCTGCCCAGAGGGACACCTGGAGCCCATGGAATGGTGCAGGCCACCCCACTGCTGAGCCAAGCCTGCCGAGGGATTTTTAATGAGCCTGTCCGAGGGCATTGGTGCTCGTGTGAGCTGACAGGCTGCCTGCTTTCCCATCTTAAGTGTTTCAGGAAACTGTCCTGCTTGGGAGGTTGAGGAGGCACCTGGGGCTGGAACAAAGGGAGTCTTGTTCTGTGGTTGATGGCCTGCGTCTGGTTTCTTCTTTCACACGTGCCCCGAGAAGGCCACATTCAGAAGTGGGAGAAGTTTTTGAAGAGGATTATGTAGGATACAAGTATAAAAATGTTCTTTTTTTTTCTGAGAGTTAAAAAAAGGTGATGAAGTGGGACATTCCTTTGCTACTGAAGTCCATCCCGATCCTTCAGCCAACTGAACTTGTCCTGACTCTCTAGAAGGGCATTATTCTTCCTCAGTTCCTATACCTTTGCTACATTACTGTCCTCTCAGCTTCCCTGCTGCATCCCCTTTGCCCATCCTCATCTTCCTCCTCTCTCAAGATTTGGTGTCCCTCAAGGAAGCCATCCCATATCACCCCAGCTGGAAAGCACTCTTCTGTTCTCTGAATTTTTACAGCTCTCTGCTTTTTTACCACCTTTTATTGCCTGAGGTGACTACTGCGTACGTGTAGATGTGTATTTTATTTGCAAAAACGAGTGAAGACCTTAATGGAACACCTATCTCATACATACACATCACACACATCAACACCCCCTCAACACCACTCACACCCACATACTACATACATCACACACATCCACACCATGTACCATGTATACCCCCCACATGTGCACGCTCACACACACACACACACACACACACAGATTGTCTTGGCAGGCTCAGTTTATGGAACATAAGGCTCAGTTCTCACCACTCTTGGGCTTATGAGCCAGGTCAAGCATCCCAGCCCCGAAACCTGTGGTAGATTTGAGTATTACTTCTATGACCGTAGGAATGGGAGGTATCGTTGTGCCTTCTCTAAATAAACGTGTGCTTCCCTCTCATGTGATTTTTGGGTGTGGGCTTCAGGGAAACGACACAGGGAGTATCCCAGACTCATCTCTGGTTCTGCCTTGGTTCTTATCCTGACAAAGGCAAACAAAGGGATGTCAATATTTGTATAAGCTAGGAATCGATTGGAAGATAAATCTTTTGGAAGGGAAAGAATCGAGGGAAACAGATTTGAGTCATTTATAAATGATTTTTGGATTATCTCTCATCCTTCTTTGTCTGTGGACCACTGAGTAGAAGCTAAAGGATTATGATGGATTATTGAAGGGTTCTGGGGGGAGCGTGGGGGGCACTCCTCAGACTCTGAGGTGGATTTGCCCAGTGGCATCACAGCATTTGACTGGACAGAGATCTGTGTTTTCACTGTTCATGTCATTTCTGTCAGCAATTTGCACAGTCCTGAGCCTGTGGGGCCCAATATTTGATGTTTATGATGGCCTGTGAGAAGTAAGCTTACCAACATTTGAGAGATTCTGAGTCTCAGTCATTTAGGGCTGTTTTCCTAAGATATATAGTCATGGCCTGGGATAGAAATGTATTTTCAGACTCTTCAGGTCAAATAAACCATTACGACTGCTTAATGAGAACCTGATAGGAGCTCAATAATATAATGCTAACATTTATTGTTCCTAAGCACCTTATTTATACTGCTTAATTTAACTTCTACAGTAATTCTATGCAGGGGACACTGTACTAAGTGTCGTAAGCAGTGGGGAGAAATACATATGCACTGGCCATCTTGCCCTCGGGGACTGTTCGGTCAAAAAGCCATATAAACACATCACATGATTTAGGATTCTTAGCACATGAGGGCATTCCAGGGGAATACCCATTTTCCCAGGTAAAAGAGCTTTGCCAGAGGCCAGATGTATCTAAATTCAGCTTTTCCCTTGCTTTCAGTAGAATGGAAGGTTAGGGATCAGGTGTGCAAAGGAGGATTCATAACGTAAAGTGCTTTGTGGCCTGGAGTTAGTGCCCGAGTCCGCGTGACTTCTTGGCTTTCGGTAACTCAAATGTTGGCTTGAAAGTCAGCCTGTCAGAGAGGCACTATGTGGTGAACCCACCCCCAAAGAATACAGAAGATCTGATTGAGGAAAACAAAGCGGATCTTCCAGGTGTTGGGCAGATTTAGAACAAGGATATGAGTCACAGGGTTGGTAAAGTTGCTGAGTGAAGAGTAGATGTGTTTTGTACTTTTCTTCCAGTTCCATTTTTCCTAGAGTTTTGTAACTTTCTGAAGGTCTCACAAACGCTGGGAATTCTGTTGCCAATCATTACTTTAGACCTGCAGACTTTGTGTTTGTGCACTGATGCGTAGTTTCACATGGAACAGGACGGAACGTGGAGCATGGTTGTAAGGAAGGCTCTCTGGGAGTCCTTGCTGAAGCTGCTGTTTAAATACTTCTAGAACTCTTGTTTAGGAATTGCTTTCAGATACTATGGCATATCTTTTTGAAAGTCTTTAGAAGCAGCAAATCTGGATCTTTAAAAATGGATGTAGTAAAATAGTTCAAATCACAGAAAAATTCATCTATCCCTTCACCCCTTAGATAAAATATCTCTCAAACCTCCTTAGGGTTGGAGGAGGTTGCTGGCTGCATGCGGAAGGGAGGGCTGGAGCTCTCTGGTAGAAAAAAAGGGAGATAAAAGAATAAGAGAATATCTTACAAGTGAATTTAAGTATTAGAAATAGCAAAAAATTAAAGAAACAGCTAAAATTTTTTTGTAACATTTCAGGCTGGGAATTATAGATTTTTAAGAAATTGATAAAATGGCTTTTCTTGATTGGTTTGTGAAGTGATACTGAAGGTATTTCTAGAATAAGATTATTAAAATTTTTGAGCAATGATGACATTAATGAAACTATCAGCTCTCAAGCTGGTTTTATTAAAGCAGATTAATTTGGACTTATACATTCTGATCAGTTTGTCAAAATTTCAAAACAAAGACCCATTTAGTGTGTGATAGTCACCATATAATCCCAGTCCTCCTGTCTTCCTTCCCTCCTCCTTTCTACCCACACTCTCACCCACATACACCGATTTGCTGCCCTGAGTGGCAGCAGAAGCAAATATTTCCAAGCCCCAGAGCCTGACAGAACAACCTCTCTCCTGCTGGGTAAAAAGCAAACGTTGAGTTATTTCCATGAACTTTTGGGCTGTTGGCACATCAGGTGGACCTCCAAGGATCTGACGGTGTGTGTGGGGGGGGCGGGGGCGGTGCTCCCTTTTCCACAGAGTTCTGTTATGAAAACCAGCGTGGTTCCTTCTCCCTTCCACATGTTTCCTGGCACTCTTTAGCTGCCTGTGCTTGTGTTTTTCCCTCACTAGGGGAAGCTACATGACCCTCAACTCATGGGGATCATCCCAAGGATTGCACATGACATCTTTGACCACATCTATTCCATGGATGAAAACCTGGAGTTTCACATCAAGGTAAGTGCTATTGATTAACTCTAAAGAGAGAAAACTGCGCCCCAAATCATGTTTTAGTTTTCCTCTTTTTATGTATACATAAAAGATTATTTTGATCTATTTTAAATGAAATGCTGTGGTAAGCAAAGCAGGTGAATACTAAGGAAATATCGAGATAAAATAAAAGCCTTCTTTAGGATGGAATCATCTTGATGGCTATCTGAATTCTACCCTTTACCCAGTGGATTTCTATAGATATGACTGGAATGTGTCCATGATTGGGTTAGGACAGCATTTCCCAAAGTGTGTTCCATGGAACACAGTCCCTCATATTATTAATAGGTGGGCTATCAGGGAAAAGGCTTATGAGGCCAGATAAGCTGGGAAAATGTTTAGTTGAACAGTGTTAAATTCATCACAGGTTTAATATGCTATTATGTAATCCAGTTCTACAAAGGGGACATGTAGTAGATTACATTTTCCAGCTTATTTGACTGTATACATATTTTTCCCCTTTTGAGGTATGATGGACTGGTATTTTGAAGGGCACACTGTGACAAGTGTTGGGGAAGGGTGTTACCCTTCCTGGTTTTTGTTTTTAAACCAGAACCTCTGTTCCAACTTAAATTTGAATTGAAAGAGAGATTTTTACTCTCTTAACTATAGCTGTTAATTTATAACATTGGATATTAGGGATACATTCATTGGAACTCCTTTGTTTTCAAGTAACTGAAAGCCACTTGTTTAAGCAAATAGAGGAAGTTGTTACAAGATACAAAATTTGTTAGTAGACATGGGGCTAAGGGGTTGTGGAAAAGCAAGAAATCCAGACCCTGCTCTTCCTTTAAACATTTTTTTAAATTAAAAAAAATTGAGATATAATTCATATAATTCACGTACCATAAAATTCATTTTTTAAAAGTGTACAGTTTGATGGTTTTTATTATATTCCCAAAAGAATACAACCATGATCACTATCTAATTCCAGAACATTTTCATCACACCCAAAAGAAACCCCATCCCGGTTAGAGTCCCTGCATTTCTCTCTGCTTGCTTTATATTTTTGGGGGGGAGGTGGGTAGGGGGAGAAGGCACCATGGCAGCTCCCGTTCCATATCCCTTATTCCCAGTTCCTAATTCCCCAGGGAAGGGGCTCATTGGCCTAGCCTACAGTTGGGTTGCCCCCAGCTCTGACAAGCTGTATCCAGGATGCACATGGCTGGCTGGGTCCCCACCACAGCGACTGGGAACGGTGTGGACAGGGGATGGGGAAGAGACAGGGTCAGTTCTAAGAAGAAGACTTGGAGCAGAGCGGATGAGCCAAGAGGCTGACCATCCCTTTTGAGGCAGGGACCTTAGTGCACTAGGCCCATCGTTTTAGAGATGAAGAAACTGAAGTTTCAAGACATAGCGCTGGATGGCCAAAGTCACACATCAGGTTATTGGCAGAGCTGAGATTAGACTCTTGATCTGACCAACCCTACATGCAGCACCTTTCCCATTATCTTAAACTTCTGCCCTTGCTTACTTCTGCTATGTACCTTTCCTAAATTATATCAAAACAGGGCAACTGTTTGCCCCATCATAAATTAGATCCAGGAAGTCTTTTTACTTTACAAATCTTTTTCCTCCCTTTGTTGGCTAATACAGGTTTCTCCTTGCCAGGGTTCTTTGTATCTAAGGATACAGAAGCCTGTGGCTTTGATGGGATCAAGATTTAGGAGCTTAGTACATCTTTAAGGCTGTTTGCATTTAAATACCTTAAACTACTGTAGGGTTCTTATGGGATAATCCTGGAGTAAGATGTTAAACCAATTATTGCCCTCAAAATAGGGTCTTGTAGTAGAATCTTATTAAGGTAAAAACAGCCCCAGCATGGGGTGGGAGGAGGGGGGTGGCGGGAAGAGAAGGAACAGCACCCAAGTCTCCAGGGCTGAATTTACAGTCTTCCTTTTCTGCATTTGTAGTTATGCTCACTTATTTCATATATCATAATTGCAAGTGGACAGGCCAGCTATTGACTGCTCTGTATTTTGAACTGAGTAGTGACAGGCTTAATCAAGAAAAAGGGGCTTGATTAAAGCAGTATTGAAAATCTGTTCCTTAAAGTGAGCCCCATAGAGGTTTTAAATGTTATTTCTGAACATGCTATTTCTTAATGCAAAGCAACACATATTTATTTTTCTTCCACCTGGTCTCACGAAGTATTTGAAATGAAAAAAAAAAAAATCGTCCCCCCATCCCCCAAAAGCAGCCAGTATCTTCTGTGGTAAAAAGAAATTAATAAATCAGAGGGTTTTTTTTTTTTTCTTCTCATATTAAATGTGAACAGGATTTTAATTGCCATATTTGCTAATATGTAATTTATGACTGCTTTTTAGTGTAATTAATTTCTCTGCAATCTCTGGAAATAAGGACACGTGTACATCTCAAAGATAACAGAAGTCTTAATGAAAGCTAGACAATTTTGAGATGCACAGAATGGGTTGGAACCAGGGTTGAGTTGGCTACAGGGAGGCTGAGTTAGAGATGTCCAAGATTAGAGGTCAAATAGACCCTAGGATTCCAGCCACAGGGAGAAGTTTCAGGAGCAGTGAGTCTTTCCAAGGCCAGCTAGGTGTGTCTATGACGCACGAGGCTTGGTGACTGGGGAGTTTGACAGACAATCTGGCAAGCTCAGGTTGTTAGGCAGACAGGCAACTTGGAGGGGATGCCCAGCTACACATTCCAGGGTTCGAAACCAAGACCCCAGATCTCAGAGAAACTGGGAAGTCAGGAGGCTCCAGGACAAGGTAATGAACGGGACTGAGGGGTGAGGACTAGTGCTGGGTTGGGAAGGCTTCACTGCCCCCAACCAGAGGTCCAAGAGCGAGGATGCAGGGCTGAGGTTTCACCTATAGAGTTACACCCCAGCTTTACAACTGTTCTTTCAACTTTTTTTCTTTCTTAACAACTTGTTTGTTGATTCCTTTGTTTAGGTTTCAAAAAAAAAAACACAAAAAACCCATGAACATGAGAGAAAGAAAGTTGATCTGGGAGGTGGAAGGCAGGTGTAGACAGAGTGCAGAATCCTAGAGAAATTTTTGACGTCATTAAGTCCAATAGTTTCATTTGACAGATGGGAAAACCGAGGCCTATAGTTTTGGTTACATGTGAATTAAACCTCCATGGTCACACGTCTAGTTAAAGTTGTTCTCAGGTGTTCCTAGGGAGTTTAGAAGCCAGTTCCTAGTTCTTGGAGATTCTGACTCAGGAGGTCTGCAGCTGGGCTCACGACTCTGCAGTTTCTACAAAGGTCTGAGTGATGCTGATGCAGGAGGGGCTGGGGCTGGGCTCTGAGGATAATTGATTAGAAGGCTTCCTTTCCCCCTCACAGTCTAGTCTGTCTCTCATTAAATCCCATTTTGTTCCAACCTTTCCTGGCCTCCCCAAAGCTGGCCACCATCAGCAGCTCTCTCCCCATTACCCTGGAGCTCTTGTAGCTCCAAGCAAACTGCCCTTATCCCCATCCCCGCTTCCTTCATGTGAATGTTTGGGCCTGGTCTGGTGAGGGGGTCAACATCATGCATGAGGAGATGCCAACTGATGTCGACAATTACTCGCCAAGACCGTTTTCTGTTCCAGCCTTGGTCCTACCTAGAAGTTTGCTTGGTGCTCATCGAGGGTGAAGGGTAGAGTCCACCCGTAAGTGGCCGTCTAGTGCACAATGTAAGGAGCACCTGAATCAAGACCACAGGGGCTGTACGGCGTGGGGGGTGGCTCAGCCCAGGCAGGGGTCCGCAGAGCAGGCTGACGTGGCAGGAAGCCGGAGAGTGCAGGAGAGTTGGCTGGGGCTCTGTGCTGCAGGCCTCCGAATCCAGCTTTCTGCCCCCTCTTCTTGCTCTCCTTAGCTGTGCATGACAAAGGCTTTTATGAGTTCTAGTAATGATATTTTTTCAAATACAGCATGGCATTTCTGTTTCAAACTCAATTTGTTTTTAACTAGGTTTCCTATTTTGAGATCTACTTGGACAAAATCAGGGACTTACTCGATGGTGAGTAACCTGAATGCTTTTCCTCTATTTGTTCTTTAAGGTCTAGGGAGGTTGAAGTGATTCACAGCTCTTCTGCTTCAGGAGTTAATGAAAGTTTATAGAGATGTTTTATTGCCTTTACACTATCTGCTTATTCTTAGCCAAGGCTTAAACTTGCATATGGCAAAGAGATTAGATTTGCCTATCTTCGGTAACAATTTCTCTTTTTCCTCCAATACAGAATCTTTAACTTTTCTTTTCTCCTCTGCATGTCGTCATTATTTGCAGTATCCAAGACGAACTTGGCTGTTCATGAAGATAAAAACAGAGTCCCGTATGTAAAGGTATGAGGAAGACTTGATGATGCAATTGACTTCTCTCCTGTCACTGTCATCATCATGGTTACCAAATATGCCCAGAATATTTCCTATAGAGTGTATGTAGGTGTTTCATCATGTTCCTTATATTTAGTATCTATCTGGTTAAAAAACAGACATTTGATTTCTTCAGTCATATCCCTGTGGGAATGTATCACAGATGTCTAATCACATGAGGTAAGAAGTGGAGAAGTGAACAAGTATTTATTAGTCACATGTAGAGAGGCTTTGCTAGTGGAGATAATTGCGTATACTTTGCAGTGAGAGCAAGCCTATCATAGCATTATGCCTAGAACTTCAAAGTGTCTAATTAAAGTTGGTGGCTAGCATGAAAGGCAAAGCAAAATTTCATCCATTTCTTTTTCTGTCACTGGTGTTCTTTATTTTCTGTTTCTACTGCTGTTGAGTATGCACAGGTACTTAAAAATCTAGGGAAAAGCTGGCATTTCTTTTATGGTTTACTTCTAGGTTTCCTGGGGTTTGCTCAGACTTCTCTTTGATGTAGAACTCAAGCCATAAGCCAGGAGGAAGAGCTGTTGGACCAACATGGCAGCCTTTGGAGAAATGGGAGAATGTTTAGCTGTCTTCAAATAGAGTTGCTTTCCAGTTTGTTTGTTTGTTTACGTTTTTATTTGTTTATTTGACAGAGAGAGACACAGTGAGAGAGGGAACACAAGCAGGGGAGTGGGAGAGGGAGAAGTAGGTTTCCCACGGAGCAGGGAGCCCATGCGGGGCTTGATCCCAGGACCCTGAGATTATGACCTGAGCCGAAGGCAGACGCTTAATGACTGAGCCACCCAGGCGCCCCAGCTTTCCAGTTTCTAGTGGTTAACCTGATCTGACTCTTTTCCAGGGGTGTACCGAGCGGTTTGTGTCAAGCCCCGAGGAGGTCATGGATGTGATAGATGAAGGCAAAGCAAACCGACACGTGGCTGTCACAAGTAAGCATGGGGTGGTGTTTCCTCCCCTGTCACTTGGGATACGAATGTCTGCCCACCCACTGGGAGGGGTGGGTAATGAGGTCCCAAGGAAATAATGCCGGGGAAGGCAGTTATGAAGCAGTGGCTCGGAAGCAAGCACACAGGAGTGTGCAGGACGAGAGTGTCTCAACAGGTCGTTGGAAGCGTGCCTTCTGCCATTCAGGGAACTCTCGGGAATACTGGGTGAGGCTCGCTGGGCCCTGGTAGCCCCCTATGTCTGGACACTGGGGAAAACCAATCAACCAAGGAAAGGGGGTTAAAAGTCAGCTTCTAAATGTATTTCAACCACATTATTGTTCAGGTTAAAAAAAACGCAAGCCAACAAATTTTATATGCCAGTCATATGTGTGGAAAGAAACCCCGGTAGATTTCTACCCTGTTTAGAAAAGGAAAAAGAAAAGCAAGGAGGAGCTCAGGAAGTGGAGCTGGGAGCTTTATTGAAAACCTTCCTATGCCATGTTAATAACAAACACATTCAGGCCAGCTTGTTTACCTTGTAGTTCCTTCCTTGGCGTGCGCACACGTCTCCGGGAAGCAGGTCCTATGTTAGAGCAGCAGAGGTTCCGGTCCCCCATCTTTGGGCTGGCTGTCTCATTCTGAGGGGTATGGACAAATCAGAGGGAGTTTGTAGGAGGAGGAGTTGAGAGAACTAGGGATTTCTAGGTTGGAAGAAAGAAAAACTCTGAGGAGAACATAGGGACAGTGTAATATATATATATATTTTTAAATTTTATTTATTTATTTGAGACAGAGAGAATGAGAGTACAGAGAGCATGAGAGGGAGGAGGGTCAGAGGGAGAAGCAGACTCCCTGCTGAGCAGGGAGCCCGATACGGGACTCGATCCCGGGACTCCAGGATCATGACCTGAGCCGAAGGCAGTCGCTTAACCAACTGAGCCACCCAGGCGCCCCTAGTGTAATATATTTCTTAACATGTTCAAGGTGCTGACATTGAGAAAGTCGGTTTGCTTTATATGAACCACATGGGTAGGCCACCTAGGATTGCTGAAGCTACCAGGAGGCAGGTTTTGACCGACCACAAGAACTCTCTGCTCCTGATAGCTGCCCCAAGGAAAGCCTGCTACCTGGAGGGGCAGGGTTCCCTGTAAGGTATACAAGAGATGGAAACATCGGTTGGTTGACTGGTCTAGCCTCTCTAAGTCTCTTCCACCCAAGGCTCTGTGATTCTGTCACCCAGTACCGTAATTCTCTACCTTTTCTCTACCCTGACATCCTGTCAGAGGATATTCACACATGCGGCAGATTTCATAGGTGAGCCTAGGCATGTATACAGCGTAGGTTAAATTCCACGTCTTTCTCTTCTGCTTTTACATATACTTGAAAGAATGTAAGACTGATATTCTTATAGTAATAGCATCTCTCATTTATAAAGAAGTTATTTATTTGATTTTTTAAGCTATTGTTAGTCGTGAATTATTCACGGCATACTTGACAATCCATCTTGGCCCCTTGGTTCAGAACTGTAGGTGCAGAACATTAATTATTTTTCTTATCATTCTGGTAAGGTGGTTTTTAAAATTACGCATAACATAGAACTTAGCATTTTAACCATTTTTAAGGGTACAATTCAGTGGCATTAAGTCCATTCATAATGTTGTGCAACCATCACCACTGTCTATTTCCAGAATTTAATCACCCCAAAGTTAAACCCCAGCCCATTGAACAATACCTCCCCATACTTCCCTGGTAACCGCTATACCACTTTGTGTTCCAATGAATTGGACAGCTCTATGTACCTCATAGAAGTGGAGGGATACCAGTCCTCTTGTGACTGGCTTGTTTCACACAGCATAATGTCTTCATGTTGTAGCATATGTCAGAATTTCCTTTCTTTTTAAAAATGCTGAATAGTATTCTGTTGTAGGTATATATTACATTGTTTGTTCATTCATTCACAGATAGACATGTGGATACTTGTGTTGCTCCCACCTTCTGGCTATTGTGACTAATGCTGCTGTGAACGTGGATGTATACATATCTGTTGAAGTTTCTGTTTTCCCTTCTTTTGGGTATATATACAGAAGTGGAATTGCTGGATCATATGTCAACTCTACTTTTAATTTTTTTAGGAACTGCCACATTGTTTTCCATTGTTGTTGCACACCATTTTACATTCCCACCAAGAGTGTGTGAGAGTTTCAATTTCTCCACATCCTTGCCAATGCTTCTTAGTTTCTATTTTTGTTTTTAACAGCCATACTAATGGGTGTGAAGTCTTATGTCATTATGGTTTCGATTTGCATTTCACTAATGACTAGTGATGTTTGGCATTGTTTCATGTGCTTATTGGCCATTTGTAGGTTGTCTGAAGAAATGTCTGTTCAGGTTCTTTGCTCATTTTATAATTGGGTTTTTTTTTTTCTTGTTGATTTATAGGAGTTCTTTGTATATTCTGGATCTCAATTCCTTATCAGATATACGATTTGTGAATATTTTCTCTCATTCTGTGGGTTGCCTTTTCATTCTGTTGATGCTGTCCTTTCATGCATAAAAGTTTTTAATTTTGATAAAGTCCAATATATCTGTTTTTTACTGTTGTTGCTTGTGGTTTTGGTATTATTTCCAAGAAATCTTTGCCAAATCCAATGTTATGACGTTTTTCCCCTATGTTTTCTTCTAGGTTTTATTGTTTTAGCTTTTACATTTAGGTTTTTGATTGTTTTTGAATTAGTATATGGCCTAGGTAAGAGTCCAACTTCATTGTTTTTGCATGTGGATATACAGTTTTCAATTTGGTAAAGAGACTGTTGTTTTCCCATCAAATGGTCTTGACACTCTTGTTGAAAATTATTTTACCATTTTATGTGAGGGTTTATTTCTGGGCTCTCATTTGTCCTTCTCTATGTTTGCCATTATGCCAATGCCACACTGTCTCATTATTGTGGCTTTGTAGTAAGTTTTGAAATCAGTAAGTGTGAGACCTCCAATGTTGTTCTTTTTCAAGATTGTTTTGGCTATTTGGGGTTCCTTGAGATTCCATATGAATTTTAGGATGGACTTTTCTATTTCTGCAAAAAAACATGACTAGGATCTTGATACTGATTGCATTAAAGCTCTAGATCACTTTTGGTAGTATTGCCATTTTCACGATGTGAAGTCTTCTGATCCATAGACACGGAACGTCTTTCAATTTATAGGTGTCTTCTTACATTTTGTAGTTTTTATTCTTTTAAAACTTTTTAGAAGATTTTTTTTTTAAAGTAATCTCTACACCCAACATGGGGCTTGAACTTATAACCCTGAGATCAAGAGTCACATATTCTACTGACTGAGCCAGCTAGGCACCCCTCATTTTGTAGTTTTTAATGTACATGTCTTTTACTTCCTTGGTTAAGTCTATTCCTAAGTATCTTATCCTTTTTGTTGATATTTTATTTTATTTTATTTATTTTAGAGAGAGAGAGGGAGAGAGTGCGTGAGTCGGGGTGGGGGCAGAGAGAGAATCCCAAGCAGGCTCCATGCCCAGTATGGAGACTGAAGCCAGGCTCGATCTTATGACCCTGAGATCATGGCCTGAGCCAAAATCAAGAGTCGGATGTTTAACAGACTGAGCCACCCAGGTGTATCTCTTTTTGTTGATATTTTAAATGGAATTATTTTCGTTTCAGATTGTTTATTGTTAGTATATAGAAATGCAACTGATTTTTACGTTGCTTTTTTATCCTGCAACTTTGCTGAATTCATTTATTAATTCCAACATAATTTTTGTGGAATCTTTAACTTTTTCCCCCATATATTCTGGAAAGATTTTTGGGGGGGCCACCAGAGGAAGCAGCTTTTATTCACAAGTTATCTCCAGAAACCAAAAAGATTATGTACCTACTTTCAGCACCTCCTATCCTTCCTGGAATTCTCGTTGCTCCACCTGGGGAAGGGAAGAGATATAAATTGCCTTTTGGTTTTCCAAAGCCCCAGTCTTTCCCCTCCCTCTGTAGTCTTAGAAATTCAGTAGCAATACTGTTGTTTATTTTTTCAGCAATGCCTGAAGCAGCTACTTAGTAACAGTTATGGGTGAAGAGGTATGAGGGGAAGCAGTTGGATGAGTAAGAGTGATGCACAGAAAACAGGAACATAGCCTATCAAAGGTCCTTCTGTCTTGCCTCAGTGGCTTCATCCTTCATTGGTTGCATTTCTCTTTACACCGGATCACACACCTTTCTGAATCAGATTGGGATTTTCATTACCAGCCATGGAACCAGCCCCAGAGCCATGAGATGAGCTAGTCCAAACTTGGGCACATTCCTGGCCCACAAAGGCTTAAAGTGCTCGGTCAGGCATATTTTGTCACCCCTTATACATCTTTGCTGTTTTTCCATTGAGTTCAGGGGCTGTAATTTCTGGAGCCATAGTAGGATATGTGATAGGAATGTCAAACTTCATGTCAGACTCATAGTTGAGGAGGTCATGGATGCACCAGCATTTTCCAAAACACTGAGTCCCTTCCTTGTTGGACTCCAGTTGGAATCAATCATTGTCTGCATTCTTGTTGTTTTCCACATACCAGATAAGAGACTGATATTCCTCTTTGAGTCCTGTACCCCAACTCATGATCTTGAGGTCTAGCATTAGTCTTCAGCCATCTTGGACAAGGGTGCCTAGAAAATTGGTTTTAAGAAATGATTGCTAGTGGGGGTTGAAGAAGACTATCACTAGGATCTCTGCTTGCCTAGTTAACAGAGACCAGGGTCCAAAAATATTTCTATTTCTATTTTTTTTTTTAAAGATTTTATTTATTTATTTGACAGAGAAAGAGATAATGAGAGCAGGAACACAAGCAGGGGGAGTGGGAGAGGGAGAAGCAGGCTTCCCGCTGAGTAGGGAGCCCGATGTGGGGCTTGATCCCAGGACCCTGGGATCATGACCTGAGCCGAAGGCAGACGCTTAATGACTGAGCCACTCAGGTGCCCCCAAAAAGATTTCTATTTCTAGTACTCGGTACTAATGAAGCATATTTAATCTTTGAGACCTTCAACATGCCTAGTATGGATTATAGAACTCTATTTAAGGAAAAAAAGAAGTCTTAAATCTTAAGGTCATAATCCTTCCTTAAGAAAGCTTGTGATATTATGGATAAGGCAAGGCTTACACACATGACGGAGACGGAATACACTGGGTCCTAACCATGATGACCAAGGCTGAGGGACTAAAGGTGAGGGGGGAGGAAGCTGTGAGCTCTTTGTTCTTTTTTTTTTTTTTTTAAAGATTGTATGTATTAGAGGGAGAGAGCACGAGTGAGAGAGCACAAGCAAGGGGGTGGCAGAGGGAGAAGGAGAAGCAGACTCCCCTTGGAGCAGGGGGCCTGACACGGGGCTGGATCCCAGGATCCTGAGATCATGACCCGAGCCGAAGGCCGACGGTTAACCTACTGAGCCACCCAGGCGCTCCAGCTGTGAGCACTGTGAGGCCGAGGGTCCATGGGGGCTTCAGGCAAAGCTAGAGAATCTGTTCTCTTGAACCATCCACTAAGATTCTTAATTTCTTTGCCATGTGAAGATACTTTAAATCTCTCATTGTCTTTTTAAAAGAAACTGTGGTCTTAGATACTTTTTTAAATTGGCTGGACTTTAAAAAATGAAGCTATTAAGCATGATTTGTTGTGCTTTTTAGATGAGAGGCTTGCTACCTAAACTTCTTATTCTTTGCAGAGCAGTAAACTATTTTCCTTTTCAGACATGAATGAACACAGCTCTAGAAGTCACAGTATCTTCCTGATTAATATTAAGCAAGAGAATGTAGAGACCGAAAAAAAGCTCAGTGGGAAGCTTTATCTAGTTGATTTGGCTGGGAGCGAAAAGGTAATTGGTTCCTTATTTGTATTATCTATGATTTTCCCTGTTATTTGCTCCAGTGTGCAATGGTATAATTTTTATACCCTTTCTATTCCCTGGTTTTAAAGAGCTTTTAAAGTTTCTGGTATTGTGCCAAAATGCTATTAAATTTCACCTTCGTTTCCCTGCTCTCTTTTCTGGTCCTGAAGTTCCCTATTCACATCACAGGAGGTGCTTTGAATGCCAACTCGGATTTATGCTTAATGGGCCCCAATGATGACATTAGGCAAGTGCTGGTGTGCGCTTAGCCTGGCAGAAGTAGTTGTACACATGGGGGAGGGACATGACCTTCTGTGGAAAGGGAAGATCCCCGTGTTGCACCCGATTCAAATAGGCCAGAAACGGACTTTGCCACTGGGCCGTGGCCGTCCTGCCCCGGCACGTTTGTTTGCTGATAGAAGATCTGGGACCTGGGGCTGTCCCTGCATTCCCTGCTTCTCTCTGCAGTGGGTGTGGTCTGACAGGGCCTCACGTGGGCAGCCTCCCACTTCCTTCAGGCCACACACCAGGCGGGTAGCCAGGGGTTTGGCCCAAAGCCCTGTTCCTTCTCTCTGGTTTTGTCAGGGCTCTCTTTTGGCATCTGTCCCATGCTCTCCTAGGCACTGGCTGAGGTCATACTCTAGACCAAACAGGCTCCTCATAACCTTCTACCTGCCCCCTCCTAGCCTCACCTCCATAGCACACTGCCAGAGCTTCCTGCTGCCACACCCTGCCTGGGGGCACTGCTTCCCTCCGGCGACCTCACAGAGCAAGTCCCTGTGCACCATACCATGTGGTCTCTGTCATCGCTGACAGTGCTGACTGTCCCCAGGGGCCAGCCCTGAGGCTCAGCCAGTCTCCTGAGCTGTGCAGTTGATCCCCACTTACTGCACCCCACCGCTGAGTTGCTATACGCCACGTTATGGCTACGAACATCCATGTAAGTAATGGCTACTTGAAATGTTCTCCTGTACACATCTGTAAAGCCATGAGCAGAGTCATGTGGATGTTCCTGGAAAATTATCTGGTTGGGAATCTAAAATTTTACTGGTACAAGCTTGTAACTTCAATGAAACAGACATGCACCAGAATAGGAAGACGGAGCAGCATTGTTTAGTTCTAGACTGAACGTTGGCAACCAGGCTGCACTTTGCTGCTGCAACAGCTGTGTGGGTCTGGAGAAAGAGCCCAGTGGCCCCTTTGTTCTTCCCGAGTTTGCTCTCTTTCCCTTCCGAGCACGGAGGGAGTATTTGGGGCCTACAGCTGGAAACAGCTCCATGCTGCCAGTTGAGTGTGGAGGCCTGTCCTCTGCACAGTGTCGGTGGTTATTGCTTATGATATTTGTGGGGCATTTTAAAGTTGTGGTCCTGTACCTTGTTTCTTTCACTCCCATCTGTCTTCCTTTGCCCTAGATGTGCCCACATGAATGTGTCAGTCAGTGTGATCTATTAGAACGAACTCTGGGCTTTAATCCCCAACTCCCCTAAATGGTGCTCTTGCCTTGGACTGGCAGTTTGACATCTCTGGAGCTCAGAGTTTCCTTGTCTGTGGAAATGGAAGGCAATTGTACCTGTCTTGCATATTTCGTGGAGTTCAGATGCTCAGATAGGAAAGCACCTTAAACCACACCGTGTGAATAGGCTGTTACTGGTGACCCGTCAGCTGTATGATTTCTCTGTCCGCAGTGGTGTCTACACACACACAATTCTCAGAGAGATGCATATCTATCGTGTTTGAAAACACTGCCGCCTGCATGTGCATTCGTTTTTATCCCTCGGAGTCTCTCCTTTATCCCTCATGACCGTCAGTCTTGGCGCAGTTTGCGATCAGTTCCCTGCCGTCCTGTCTTCAGAGAGGAGCTGCTCCTCCCGCATCGTTTGCCCAGCCAGCCGGGCCGGGGAGCATGTTGGCTTCCCTTTCTCCCTGGCATCTGTAAACTGCTCTCTACCTAGAGCAGACACTGTCAATAGGAAATTGCCAGGAATAACACAGCAGAGGAGGAACCGTACGTGGTTTCCCTGGCCGCAGAGAGAAGAGACAAGTCCACAATGTAATATACACTTTCTTGACTTTGTGATGCCCCCAGGTATCTTTCCTTTTGGACAGTCGTTCCCTTTTTCCTTGCTAGCGGAGTCAGTAAGGCAGGGAGCAGAGAGTCTGGACAAACCCCCCCCACCAACCACCACCTCTTGTCCTTTGCCTGAAGGTGGAGCTCATAACGTACACTTCCCCGATATGTCCATTCATCGTGGCCAGGACAGTGTTTTTGCGTCACGCTTCTCCCTGGGCTCCCTCCGGCGAGGAGGCCGTGGCTCAGGCTGGCAGGGCCCAGCCTTTCGGTAGTGACAGCACTCTGGGAGCCTGGTTTCCCTAGATGGATGTCCCCCAGGGAAGCATCTGCAGCTCCACCCCTGGAGGCATTTCAGCCATTCCCCAAAAACCTAATTGAGAGGAAAATGACAACAAGACAGAACAAATCCCCAGCCTCAGGCACAAGGGAAGGTTTGGTCAACGTGATTCTTACTTACTTTTATTTTTTCTTGCGTTCCAGGAGGATTCACATCCGCCTCCCTCAATCCGCAGCCCTGCGCCCTCCTGTGAATTGGAATTTTCTACTCTGTGCTTTTGCTGTCCTGTGCAGCTCACTGCTTTCTCTTCTCTCTGGTAGGTCAGCAAGACCGGTGCCGAGGGAGCTGTTCTCGATGAAGCTAAAAATATCAATAAATCTTTGTCTGCTCTTGGAAATGTGATCTCTGCCTTGGCAGAAGGGACAGTAAGTGATCCTATCCCCCTCTATTAAATGATATTATGAGAAGTCACTTTTTGGGTCTGTGTCCTCTCTTTGCCACATACCCCAGAGATTAGTTTGTTTTTCTTTGGAAAGGAGCAGAGGGAATCCTGGCTGTAGACATCCTACTTGCTGGGAGATCTAGTCCATTAAAATGTATGAATGGTGATGCTAATTTCCTATGACCCAGGTCCCAGACTGGGCACTCTAAACGTTGGCCAAATCCAAAGACTGGGCAACAAATTCTTATTTTACACATGTTTCTAAGCCCAGTGTGCCCATCGCTAACTTGCTTGTGTTTTCTCTGTGAATGGACAATGGCTGTAATAGCCAATACTTTTTTTTTTTTTCCTAAATAGAAAACACACGTGCCATACCGGGACAGCAAGATGACTCGGATTCTTCAGGACTCTCTGGGTGGGAACTGTAGAACCACAATCGTTATTTGCTGTTCTCCCTCTGTCTTCAATGAGGCTGAGACCAAGTCAACACTGATGTTTGGGCAAAGGTGGGTGTGGTCTCTCGCTGCCATGCTCTGAGTGAGTTGGGGAGGGGCTGGTGTCAGCGAGGACGTAGAAGGAGGGGCAAGCAGTCCGTTACGAAATTGCAGCTAGCAGGTGTTGCCTGTAAACTTGAGGCATCCTTGACCGAGGCCAAAAGAATAATTATGTTTTAAAAGAATCCACAGATATATGCCAATCAGAGGTATGATATTTTTTAAAAAATGCTGAAACTTATTATAGATGTGACTGCTGGTAATTCAGTGGAGTGTTGCTTTTGTTCTCCACGGAATTAGTCTTATTCTTGGGTTCACAGGATTTCAAGTGTGTACAGCTCAAGACTGATAGCTACCTTTAATTCCAGTACTTGGGAACCATTACAGAGTTGCTAATAGAAAAACCAGAAACTTGGATGAATATAGAGTAGTTGCATGAATATAAAAGGGGGGGCGAAGGAAATCCTCATGCGAACCCTGGGAGTGGGAGGTACACTGTGGGTACTGAGGAGAGGGCACAGTGGCGGCCATCTTCCCACCTTCGGAAATGTCCGAATGAGATTTCCGGGATCTCGGAGAACTAACAGGCGGGCAGCAGGACAGTGCAGTAATCCCGAGACAGCATTCACGTGCGTGGGTTAGTGCGGGCCTTCCTGCCCTCTCCTGCCCAGCACCCCCTGCTGCCCAGAGCCCGCCCCCTCCAGCCACGGCCCCTTGGTGCCAGTTCAGCATGTGGGTTCCGGTGCCATCATGCCGTTCAGTTCTGAACAGCTGTGCAGTCTTCAGAGAAGTCACCAGTTCTCTGTGGGCTTCACCTGCCTTATTTGTAAACGGATGCACAGAGCTCTCCCCCTGCCTTCCTCCTGGAAGTGTGTTGTGCGGTCATGCCTGAGAAACAGTTTAAGATGCCTAGAGAAAGGACAGATGGGGGTGGGCAGGCCACATGGGAAATTGTTAGGGCTTGTTTAAACTGCGTTAAACCCCAGTCGTTTCCTGAGCCCACAGCAGAACATCGAATTACGCAGTCATGGCACCTGCGGGATGTCTAAATAAATAATAATTACATTGAACTATTGTAGAACTAATCTATCTTTTAAACTGGGTTTGGGTCCTTTACTTCTCAGATCAGTTCCTCTAGTAGTCAAATGCTTAGGTCATTGGATTGCAGGAGGATAACGCCTACTTTTCTCAAGGGTCATGGGATACCTATAAACCAGCATCTGCTTATGGGAAACACAGAATACTGTGGTGATCAGCTTGCCTGTCCTGTGTCTCCTGGTTTCTTCATCTTAAGCTTTAACATTTTTTTCCAAAGACGTGTTTGAGCAAACCAGCAGCAAATGCATTTATGGAGGAAACATCTCTTTAAAAAAAATTTCTGACTTGCAAAGTAAAAGTAATCTGAATCGTTGCAAGCCAGGGCTGTCCTGGGGCATAGGCTGTCTGTCTCAAGGTTGCTGCTGTGAGTGGGCATTTGCAGCTGTCTATAGGAAGAGTCTTAGTATAAGTCCAAATGATTAGCTTCTTTCTTCTGACCTTAGAGAGGCAATCGTCAGCATTGTCATGATCGCTAGGGCTCAGCACATGCTGGGAGTGGCAAATCCTTGTAGCAGTTCTATCTCAGTGTGTGCAGAAGATGACATTGAGGCTTGGACTCAAAGCTGTTAGGTGCCACGCATGAGCCCACATAGCCAGTAAATGACTAAACGTGTAGGGGACTGTAGTATTTGACCCACAGCTTCTTCTATGCAGGCTGCTTGATCAGGATCCTCGATGAGCTCGGGCCTCTGGGTCAGTTCCAGTTTTGAAGCCAAGTTCTGCCACCGATCCATTCCTCTCTCCTGTTTACTTCTCTCCGAGCTTCTCTGTCCTCGTCCGTAGGGAGAACTCGAATGCCTACCTCTGAGAATTGTTGGGAGGATTAATGAGTTGCTTCAGCTTTGACTTAGCACAGGGGCGGGCTGGCATGTGTTAGGGTGTTCAGTGGTTGCAGGTTTCCCTTTGCCTCCCTCTTCAACAGTGTGCAGGCTGGGAAAGTCCCAGAACAGATGGGACTGCACGGAGTGGAATGGAATGTATGGGATAGACTCGCGGAGAAGGGGCCGGACTGAGTGAGGTAAAGTGAGAAGTAGGTTTCTAGAATGAAAGACTAAAGAAATACTGATGCTAATTTGGGGTTCCAGGAAATAAAAATAAGATGTCAATTATCTTTTTTAACTGGAATGGGTTGGTCTGCCATCTTTTATCAGAGTCATCTGGATACTAGGCTCCGTGAGGGTAGGAACGGGGTTTATCATCCGCGTCAGTCATCCCAACAAGCATCCAGCACTACTAGTATAAGTAGACGGTCATTTAATAAATGCTTATCGAATGAATGAACGGTTGAGTCAAATGCTTGTTGTGTAGGATTCCTTAGAACATTAGGGCAGGTGTTGAACTGTGACACCATTATGTCCAGAAGTTTGGTTAGGTTTAGATCTGGTGTGTTTTCCAGCCCTATAATTAGAAAGGTGTGAGGTTTGGTTCCTCTCCCTCTATCCCTGAGTTAGTTAATGGATTCTTCAAGGACGTCTAACTTCTCTATGGGGCCCATACCTGCTTTACTGTTAGATGTACGCATTGAACCCAATTACACAGCAGACACGAGTCTGAACATCGGATTAGACATGGTATCTGATAGCTAATGAGATTAAGCACTTTGAACTCAGAAAAGACTGCTGGGCACATCTCAAATGCAGTGTAATGAGTGTTTATTATGCTCTTGTTGCAGGAGTGGCCAGACCTTAGGGCTGTACGAGGTTCCTTCGTTATTCCCATGTGGTTCTTTCAAGGATGTGAAGCAAGTCCATGTTTATTGCTAGGCTATTTTACTGTATTGATGCCCTGAATAAAACAAAAGTATGTCCTTTGAAGCAGTAGAAACATGATAGAGTCTACAAATGCCCGAGAGCAGCCTACCAAGTGAGCACTCTTTAGGATTCTAGATTAGGTACTGGAATTAAAAGGGAAAAAGGAACACTGTCTGTTTCTTGGTTTCAGTGATGAATTCTGGCTCTTGTATTTGGTCAGACCCATGTCCTTTGGTCACCCTGAGTGCCCAGTATTGTGCTAGTAAAGAAGTAGGAGCCATTTTCTGTGCTCTCAAGAGCTTTTAATCTAGTTAAGGAGGGGACACTTGAATTTCTAGGCAGCCCAGAGTCAAAAAGCTGAACTGTGGGAAGACAGAACACTTCCTTCTTTTAAGGGATAAGATACTCAAATTAGAACACTTTCACTGATTTTTTTTTTCTTTTGGCTTCCAGCATTTTTTTTTTTTTTAGTCTTTAATTACTCTTCCAAAGTACTTTCATAGCACTATTCAAAAAGGATATTTGTAAGTTTTAGAAGTATGAACTCGAATCACCCAGTTATCTTGGAAGCCTATTTAATGTACCTTGATGGGGGAGTAATGAAGGAAAAGGGGGCCCCCTGGGGGCAGACAGATCAGTTTGGAGTAGGCCTAAATCAGCACATCTTTGACACAAAGAGTTTTGATTGATCTAACATGAATAATTCAAAGGCTTAATTTGTATGTTGTACGCAGAAGGAGGAGAATTGGTAATTTGGGGAAAGTAATACTCTTCTTTTTCTGAGATGTACCTTTTTTTTTTTTTAAGATTTTATTTATTTATTTGAGAGAGAGAATGAGACAGAGAGAGAGAGCACGAGAGGGGGGAGGGTCAGAGGGAGAAGCAGGCTCCCCGCCGAGCAGGGAGCCCGATGCGGGACTCGATCCCGGGACTCCAGGATCATGACCTGAGCCGAAGGCAGTCGCTCAACCAACTGAGCCACCCAGGCGCCCCTCTGAGATGTACTTTTGTTTGTTTTTTTTAAATTTTGCCTCCTCTTTCCCAGTTGTGTGGAAGCTCAATTAGTCCTGAGTGCTGTGCTTGCAAAACTCATGTCACCAGAGCATGATAGCAAGTTATCTGCAGGGGTAAGAGTGAGCACTCTGGCCAAGGGAGACCCTTGGCTATACTTTTGACATAAAATGGAAAAAGACTCAGATCACCCCCTGTTGCAGTGCTTGTTGCTGAAACACCAATAAGGTTAATTTTTGCTCTTAGAGGGAGATATACTGTGGGTGATGGAGGTTTAACCAGGTGCCAAATCCTCATCCAAATCTGTCATTTTTCAGTGTTTCTCAGGAGACTAGAGCTTTTCAAAAGACACAAAATTTAGAGCTTTTAATTTTTCATTCCCTATACCCCCGACTCACAAGCAAGGAAAATGGCCTCACCAGGAAATGGGAAGATGCTTTGCATCAGTCATGTTTCCAGAAGAAGGTTAGGTGTTTTATGCAGGAACCAGAACTCAAAACACATTAGAAGGTGTGATGGTTTATGTGTCAGCTTGGCTAGGCTGTAGTACTCAATTATTTAATAAAACACTAATCTAGGTGTTGCTGTGAAGCTTTTTGTAGATGAGGTTGACATCTACCGTCAGTTGACTTTCGGTAAAGCACATTGCTCTCCATAACATGGGTGGGCCTCATGCAATCAGTTGAAGGCCTTAAGAGCAAAAACTGAGGTTTCTAAGAGAAGAAGAAATTCTGCCTCAAAACTGCAGCATCAATCCCTGCCTGAGTTTCCAGCCCGCTGGCCTGCCCTCTGACTTTCAGACTTTTCCAGTCTCCACAATCATGTGATACATATAGAGTTATAATGTATAATGGAAGGAAAATGATGAAAACAAGAAGTTGGAAGATACCAAGAGCAAACATCTTTATGGCTCTTCCAGGGAGGCCAAAGTAATTAGAAGAAATTCCAGTGATATGTAACATGTATATGATTTAGAACTATGACCCCCAAGTATAAGTATAGACAAATATTGAGGAATTGGATGGGGATGGGATTTATCATGTAGAGTGATGTGAACCAAATAGTTCTAGGAAGTCCCCTCTTCAACAGGGCTTGATTCAAGGGCCAAATTATGAGAATGCCTGTAGAGTGTTGTCACCCATGGGGGCTTAACCTTGGTGGTAGACATGGACATGGTTGGCAGTCCTAGACGCCTGGACATATGCTTCCGAACGTGAAAACTGCAAATTCAGGGACAGAGAGACCTAGAGGTGCTGGGCAGGAAATAGAATGCTCGAGTACAGGAGGGCAGGGTCTTCCTTCTACTCAGTGAAATATATCTAAAAGAATCCTTTTCTGACTAACTGACTCCCTATGGGGATCTCAGTTAGAAGATGTACTGTGGTCTCTGCTCTTTGCTGTGCTTGGTCTGGTGGTTAACATTCTTTTTCTTCCATTCTTTTTTTTTTTTAAAGATTTCATTTATTTATTTGAGAGAGAGAGAACAGGAGGGGAGAGGGGCAGAAGGAAAGGGAGAAACAGCAGACTCCCTGCTGAGCAGGGAGGCTGACATGGGGCTCAATCCCAGGACCTTGGGATCATGACCTGAGCCAAAGGCAGATGCTTAACTGACTGAGCCACCCAGGTGCCCCAGTTAACATTCTTTTTCAAAGGTGGTTAACATTCATTAGCATTGAGGTCTTTTAAAAACTGGGTCCTGGTTCCCTTCCTTTGGGGAAAGGAGGATGTTATATCTGGGGCAAGTCTGGATCATATATTACTTAAGCAGTGCTTGACTCTCTGAGGCAAACAGAAACAAAGAAAAACTGCAAAGCAGAGACCCTGATAACTGTACCCTGAAGATTTGGCTCATTAGCGCTGAGCGGGTCTTGCCGTTAGGGTATATACATGAGGTTAGTTAAGGTCTTCCCCTAAGTAGCCTTGGTTAGGATTTTGCTCAGTGCCTGCTATGGATATAACTTCTGGAATAGGCATTTATTTCTATATACAGCTTGGGGGCTCTGGCTAAAAAACCTGAGGGTGTTTGGGAATGAAGCCTCAAGACACTTCTCTATTCCTTTGGGAGTGATCAGGTCACATTGGGATTAACCAAATGTTGTCACAGTGCGATTGACCTATAAAAATGGTGAGTGAGCAGTAAATTTATGGCTAGAGTAAGGCTCCTGCAGATCACTGGTTTGTTTTCCTATGTCGGGGAGATAACATCCCTGAACTGTTGGGCTGGGTGGTCTTGCCATTCCTATATAGCTTCAGAGAGGCAAAATAACGCCTGCATTATTTTGAAGGTGATGTGAGAGTGGCAAGCTGGCGCGGACTGGAAGTAGTAATAACATGGCCACGATTTGAAAAATTAGACTTGAAGCACTTCTGGCGACAGAAGCCTCAAGCTACAGTGAATGAGGGCGAATTTTACTAATTCTTAAGTGGAGTCTCACGTTGACTTAATTTCACTCCTCTTTTGACAGTTGGGTTATTTAGTTGTCTGCTTTAGGAATTAATTTTTGGAATGACATTTGTAGCCCTGGTGGGGGCTGGTGAAATTTCTCTCACTGAAATAAAAATCATGTCCAAAATGTCGTTTCCTGACAACAGTAATTAACCTGAATCACATATCAGATAATGCTGGCAAATATGACAGTACAAGGACTTGCGGGAGTTTAAAATGGAAAAGTGGAGAGCAAATAAAACAGGATATCACATTTTTAAATGAGGTTTCTGCCTTCTTATGAAGTAAATAATAAGTGGGATTCTGTCGTGTCAGTTTCTTTTTTCACTGGGCAGGTCTGCTTGTGTGTTCATTTCTGTAGGTAACTAGGTGAATCGTGTCTTTGTCTTTGGTGTCAGCTAGAGCTGTCACTGCTTTGCTCTCATCTCTTGCTCCCTTGGGTAACTGTCCAGACATCCACTGTGGCATCACCTGCCCCCCCCCCCAGCCATATGCCCTAGAAAGTCACTCCATCTCTTATACTGGGAATGACAAAATGGTGGCCCTCAGACATGTTTGTTTGCCCTACACGTTATTTTGGAAAATTGTTTGAAACTGGGAGATACAAATAAAAATATTCAAGTGCTGACTTTCCTTGAAACATGGGATGAGAGTAGTGGGCCCTCTACTCATATATGGTGACAGCTGCCGGTGACGGGGGGGCGGGTGGTGTGTGCTCAGTGGGGAGCCTTGGTTTCCCTTGGCTGGACTGAAACCATTAAGTGGCCCACCTGTCCCGGGAAACATGTGTTGACATGTGTTCAATGCATTGGGGATGATTCTAGGTACCAAATGTGAGTAACAGAAACAACTGATTGCATTACTTCAGTCTGTAGTTTATTGGTAGGAGAAACTGTAAGCTCTACAGGGCTGTAGACTTTGTCTCAGTTGTCTTGGTATAACCCCAGTGTTTCCTAAATGTTAAGATAGAAAGGAAACTTACTTAGGAAGACGAACCTGGCAGGGCCATACAAGGTGCTTAGAGAAGGGTGCTGAGTGCTTGAGAAAGACCATCACCGTAAGTCAGGGCTGAGAACATAGATGAAGATGGTGGCAGGGGGAACAGAAAAAGGTGGCCCTGGGAGACAATTCAAGGGAAAAGCCTTGGAATTTAGACTGGTAGGAGGGAAAGGAGAAAAGGGAATTCTGAGTGTGGAGCCTTCAGGGCAGCGGTGCCAGTAACAGAGCTAGGAGGCAGTAGGTCCCAGGGTCCCCTCTGCTCCCCCAGTCCCAGCCTTCGGGTACGAAAGCATTTGAGGCTTAATTGTATTCATGATGTAGCTAATGCTAATAGCTACTCTCAGAATTTTTCCCTTCCGTCTTTGACCCCAGGGCTAAGACCATCAAGAATACAGTCTCGGTGAATCTGGAACTGACAGCAGAAGAATGGAAGAAGAAATACGAAAAAGAGAAAGAGAAAAACAAGACTCTGAAGAACGTTATCCAGCATCTGGAGATGGAGCTAAACAGATGGAGAAATGGTAAGGAAGAATGGAGAGGAAGAATGAGGCATGAGTCTGTGTGTTCCTTCTCCTGGGACAACTGGTATCCTGGGACACTTGGGAAGGAGGGGATCATGGCGGAGCTTGGTCCTGCCTTGCAACACCTGTGTGAATGAGCGATGTGTTCTCATTGCTTAGCACAGCTTGGCCCCGCCCCGACCCCGTCCCTTGGCTGACAGGTGTGCTTAGTGTGGGCAAGTGACTATTTGCAAGGTTGCCTTAATCTATTTCCAAAGAGATGCTCCTCTGTTAGTGTAATTCTCTCTGGTAGCCACATTTGAGGTTTTGAGGGCAGCGTCTGAGACTTTGTGGCTCAGACTGCTTTTGATTAAATGAAAAATGTCATTCTCTCCTATGTGAGTTTTGTAATTGACTTGGGGTTAAAAGTTACTGCTGGCAAATATTTGCATTTTTGAGAGGCCAACTGCTCTTCATGCTCTGCTTCTTCAGAGCCAGAAATAGAGGACTCCTGAAGCAGCTTCGTGCTAAAATGGAGTCTTATAGGCTTATTTCGTGACTAGTTCCCCCCCCCAAAACACATTCTCTTTGTTTTACTCAAAGAAAATATCTCAGAGAGCTGACACACACTGGGTGGGTGGGTTGTGGGTGAGGCATTGAAGAGGGTTTCCAGATCCAAGTGCAGACAGATTATTTCGGAAATTTTAGCATTGTGATGGAATTAGAAGGTATAAGTCTTTTTTTTTTTTTTTACAGAAATAGGCAGGTTGGTGTGTTTGTAGGGGCAGAGTGGATAGTTGGAGATTCAGACTCTTTGCCGTTGTGTCCACTATGTATTTCAGGCACTGCCGTAGATCTTCGTCTCTGGGGCGAGCATGGGAGCCTGGGGGCTGCAGGCAGGATGGGGGCGGGACCCGTCTGTGTGTAACTGCAGAATTCGTGGCAGATCTTCTTGTGATTCTATGTTTGCCACTGTTTTTTGCTAGGAAAGGTGGGGTGCCAATGACCTACTATTCAATGGAAAAACAGTTGCGAAGCAAAGCAGGATTCAAAAGAGGTTCAAGAAATGACCTAGTAGCCTAAATAACACAATTCTTTTTGGGAGATTTTCTAGCTGCACACATGTTTTGAAAGCTGCTAGAATAATTGAATAATTCAGCACCTGGGGCTGGTGGATGATTCCTTGCGATTTGGCAGGAGTTAGGAGAGTAGGGAGGAATGGTTGGCAAGGTGAGGAGCGGCCGTACGAAATTTTGTTCTATTTCTGGGATCCTCTTGGGTCAGTTCTCTGCTGGGCAACTGGAACATTCAGTAACACCTTTTGGTACAGGGAGTGGAGCTGGCCTTAGAACACTGAGCAGTGGGCAACTAGCCTCGTTGTTTTCTCTTCTGTCCTGTCCCTTGCCAAGCTCTCACCCTGCAATCCTCCATCCCTCCACCAACTCTGTCCTCTGGGGTTGGCCTGCTGCCCTGTTTGCCTAACTCACCCTCCTGCCTGGCACTCTCCCCTTGCTTTTGGACTTTTAACTTGGCATCATTTTAATTATTTGTCCCACTTCATCCACCTTGCAGATCTACTTAGAAGTACACTGTTTTCCATGTCCCACAGGGTGAGATCCTACATAAGCCCTTACATACATAATTTAGGAAAACTCATGTATGGTTTCTGGCACATGATAGACTTTCATAGATGTATGTTATGTAAGCATGTGTTTAATCCATTGCTGGAGTGGAAAGGGTGAGCCGTCAGTCATGGTCTCTGCCCTTACAGAGCTTACAGTCTGATGGGGGAGACAGACTCCAGCCACAATCAATAAACATGTCTATGCTGCATACTAAAAAGGGAAAGGATAAGGTACTAAGTTATTATAATGGGCCCTGACCTTGACTGAGAAGTTAGTGAAGGTTTCCCCCGGTAAGCAACCTAGGGAGTAAGCAACCTAGGGAATAAGCTCTGAGAGAAAGAGAGCAGTTAGGAGCAGCAAGGTAGAAATGGGGGTTGGTGTGGAGGAAGCCACATTTACAACATCCCGAGGGGCAACTTTGAGGGGGTTGGCAGCAGGAAGGCCAGTGTGGCGAGCTGGGGCGGGGTGGGAGGGGTAGGCAGGCCTGTTCTGTGCAGGGCTAAACAGTTTTGGTTCAGGATTTTGGTTATTATCTAGGAAGCAATGAGAAGCCCTTCAAGGATATTCAACTGAAGATCATACGATAAGATTTGCATTTTTGAAGATCCATTGGTTGTGTTGGAGAATGGACTAGAGAGGGTAGGAGAAGGGCCAGGAACAAGGATGGTCTTCCGGAGATGAGGTTACAGTAGTTGAATTGAGAGACAGGGCAATGGCAAGAGAGAGACATGGATGGACCAGAGAGGTATTTAGGAGGTAAAATCAGCAGGGCTTGGTGAGGAGCTGGCTATAGAGAGATAGAGTGCCAAGTTTTCCTGCTTGCCGTGTTGGATGGAGGGTGGAACCATTCACTGAAAAAAGAAACGCCAGAGAAGAACCAGACTAGAGACAAGGGAGACGTGGAGGGGAGTTCAAGGTGCCTGTGGAACATCCAGGTGAAAATGTCAAATAAGAAGTTAGGTCGAAGGGTCTAGAGCTCAGAGGCACTGGCTGAGCTAGGGAAAGAAATGTGAGTTGAGCTTTAGGAAGTACATAAAGGCATAGGTAGGGGTAAGGGCCTCTGTAGAGAGAGGGAAGAGAAGAGGGAGAGAGAGTCTTGAGAGAGACCCCCCTCCACGATGACCATGTAATCACTGAGTGAATGTAATAGAGAAGGGGATCTGCAGAGCTCTCCTGTCCTCCCAAGCTAACATTTATGTTTTAAAGATAATTTTTGGGGGGACACCTGGGTGGCACAGTCCATTAAGCGTCTGCCTTGGGCTCAGGTCATGATCCCGGGGTCCTGGGATCGAGCCCCATATTGGGCTCCTGGCTTGGCAGGAAGCCTGCTTCTCCCTCTGCCTGCTGATCCCCTGGCTTGTGCACTCTCCCTCTCTCTCTCTGACAAATAAAT